GGAAGGAGGAACCGCTGGCCAATTCTAAGTAGCCGAATGAAAAGAACACTATCCAATTGAGGGGGACACAGCTAAGAAGCACCATCAGGCGACTTTTGGTTGAGAAGTTATGCGCAAGGCAAGTTTGGGATTCTGCAGATATTTTGGAATGGAACCAATTGAAGTAACTACTAGCGACGTCGCGAATGACTACAAGGAGGTCTTCCTGGCCAATTCTGAGTAGCCGAATGGAAAGAACACTATCCAATTGAGGGGGACACAGCTAAGAAGCACCATSAGGCGACTTTTGGTTGAGAAGTTATGCGCAAGGCAAGTTTTGGGTCCTGCAGTGGATGGAATGCAACAAGATTGAAGCAACTACTAGCGACGTCGCGAACGACTATAAGGTGGGCTCCCTGGCCAATTCTGAGTAGCCGAATGGAAAGAACACTATACAATTGAGGGGGACACAGCTAAGAAGCACCATCAGGCGACTTTTGGTTGAGAAGTTATGCAATGAAGACTGCTCGCTGTACTATATGGTTTATTGTTTATATTTCCAAATCAAAGAGGAAACATAGATGATGAACTATATACTACAGCAAGAGCTGGTTGTGAAACTTTGTGGTTATATGGTTTATTGTTCACACTCTTGGAGGAATTCTTCTTTCTCTTCCTTTGTCATCTTCCTAACAACATCCCTGAGAGTTTTTTTCTGTAACTTCCTATATCGACCCAAGGCGGTGTCCTCAATATTGATTGGAGTAGTCTTCAACCAAGTAAGTCTACTCTCCTTTTCATCAGACCACTTTGTGTATGGTGGTGGTTTGGTTTGGGCATCATTCACCTCCTTGTATTTCTGTCTCACCTCTAACATATTTTTGCCCTGTTCATTCCTGCTTATGCCGTACCACAGCAGAAGAGTTCTCAGTYGAGGCATCCTGAGACGATCCACTGGAATAGGTACTGACCCAAGAATGGCAATGGCACTTTTCTCTCTTTTCTCTGCCTCTAAACATTTGGCCTTTTGTTTTTCCAATGCTTCAATTTCCTTACAACGGTTGACCAGTTCAGCTGCCTTAAAGAAATCATCACTAGTAGCATGTGAACCACCTGTTACAAGAAATCTCTCTCCATGGGTGTTGGCATTTGC